TGGCACTCTCAGTTGGGTTCCGCCAGAACCGCATTGTCACACAAGCGTATTGTCCTGATTCATCCGAACTCCGGGTGTGCCCACACTGCAATCAACAATGTGACAGCAGGACACGTAGGCATACCCAAGTTCGCGTTGATCTAGCTAGCGCCGGTAAGAATAGCAGTGAACCTGCAGCAGCACGAGCTGTACAATCCACCCAGGACTCTGGGTATGTTGAGCTGCTAGCCCAAGCTGCTGAGGATTCGCTGCTATCGTGCATTGGGCTTGAGGAACATAGAGCTATTAAAGTCAGCAGATACCAGTGACAGAGTGCTACGGGCTACATTTCTCTCCCTGACTCAGCAAATTCCTTTCCCAGGGTGATAATTGTACCATGCTCTGGATCCCACTAGCAGCTGGGATACCGGCTGTTTTGCCCGATGAGTCTGCAGACATATGGAAGCTGTTACCTGTACTGCCTCTCACAAATAGGCTGTGAGCTGAGACCCACCAAACTCATGCCACCTCAGAGAGCAGTGCCCGCAGTGCCAGGAAAAAGAGACGGTGCTGTCTGTTTGTAGCCAATGAGACAAGGCAGGGGAGTGATACCACAATTTGATGCACACACAAAGCATCAAGTGAGCTGAAGACTCACTGTTTGCTGGGTACCTGACACTGTGTTTCCTGGCGGTGTCGCTAGGTTCGGACACAATGCGTGCACACCCCAGATAACCAGCTGCAGCCACGTCCTGTCCATTCGGGAGCCTTTGCAGTTTGTGTCCATGGGCCTCGGGTTTATACGGGAGCAGCACGCGCAGCAAGTGGCCGGCTCAGCCAGCAGACATCCACTTCCTACCCGCTAGGTGATGAGACAGGAACAGCAAGGGCTCCCTTTTAAAGGGGCAGGACGTAAGCCAAACCTGCAGGGCTCATTTCACAGCACTGGAAGGGAGACCCCCCACTGCAGCCCTTGTAGACTGGGAAGAACTGATGGAGACTTGGGGTGGGGAGGAAGATCTGAGGACAGCAGAGGCCAAAGTTACCTTATTCCATATGTGACGGGTTGGATCACAGAAACCCCCTTGGGAGCTGCCACCTAATGTACCAAGACTACTTCTATTCCTGTTTTCCCTGCCAGCTCAGGACTCCAGCACCCTGTCTTGCTGAGCCAGACACTCCTGTCTGCTCCAACACAGACCCAGGGTCTGAATCACTTGCCCCAAAGCCGCAAGTTTACCTGAAAACAGCTCACAGAAGTGTGCTTGTCTTTAGCACTCAGATGCCCAACTCCCAATGGGGTCTAAACCCAAATAAATCCGTTTTACCCTGCATAAAGCTTATGCAGGGCAAACTCATAAATTGTTCGCCCTCTATAACACTGATAGAGAGATGTGCACAGTTCTTTGCTCCCCCAGGTATTAATACATACTCTGAGTAAATTACTAAATAAAAAGTGATTTTATTAAATACAGAAAATAGGATTTAAGTGGTTCCAAGTAGTAACAGACAGAACAAAGTAAGTCTCAAAAGAAAAGAAAAGAAAATGCGCAAATCGATGCCTAGTCAAACTGAATACAGATAATCTCACCCTCAGAGATGCTTCAGTAAGTTTTTTCTCAGACTGGACACCTTCCAGGCCTGGGCACAATTCTTTCCCCTGGTACAGCTCTTGTTGCAGCTCAGGTGATAGCTAGGGGATTCTTCATGATTGCTCCTCTCTCCCTTTGTTCTCTTCCACCCCTTTATATATCTTTTGCATAAGGCGGGAACCCTTTGTCCCTCTGGGTTTCCACCCCCCCTCACTGGAAAAGCACCAAGTTAAAGATGACATATGAAACAGGTTTAAGATGGATTCCAGTTCAGGTGACATGATCACATGTCACTGCAAGACTTCATTGCTCACTTGCCAGCACACACATATACAGGAAGACTAACAGGTAAACACAGCCATCTGCAGACAATGGTCCTTGTTAATGGGAGTCATTAAGATTCCAAACCATCATTAATGGCCCACACTTTACATAATTACAATAGGCCCTCAGGGTTATGTTTTATATTTCTAGTTTTAGATACAAGAGTGGTACCTTTCTACAAATAGGATGATCACACTCAGTAGATTATGAGCTTTGTAATGATACCTTACAAGAGACCTCTTGCACGAAGCATATCCCAGTTGCATTATATTCACTTATTATCAAATTTTTATAAAACTATCCCAGTTAGATGATATTCACTTATTATCATGTTTTTATAAAACCATATAGACTGCACAATGTCACACCATACATTTGGGAACGTTGGCAACTCTGTCTCACACACACACTGGGGGTGGGCAGGGGAAGGACAGACCCCAAAAACCCTATAATGTTTCTATGTAAAATTCATGATTTGGGGACAAATCATGATTTTGTGGGGGCTAACTCATGATTTTTGAGCCTGGCAGTAACGCACATAAAAGCTAGGTGCTGTTTTTATTCTCAAAACCACAGCTCATTTCACCTGGGTTTGAGGTTCTCTGCCTTGCAATCATGGAAGAGGAATCCAGGGCCAGGCTGGGGGCGGTAAGGAGAGAGCGGGGCTCTTTGCTCACAGTCTTT